AGCTGTCTGTAGAAATTTTTCCCATAATTCCTTCCGTAGGGTAGATAATTAGCATTTAATTTTGCCATTTTTGGACAAGGGTGCATTGCAATGAGTGCCGCACCTAGACCCCAATACCGACAAAGCCCAAATTTTACGTGGAACGAGTTGAGATTGTAGGTGACCTAAATCCAAGAGATGGGTATGGAGGCCCTTACCGTCTAGGAGGAGAAGCGGTAACAGTGACTTGTAGGCAGAGCCGGCGGAACGATCTGGACGGGACTAAAACCATGTGTACCGCCAGCGCTAACGCTGGTGGTACAATAATAATTACTGTTATACTGATAAAAGTGAATTGTAACTGAATTTAATCAGTAATTAGCCTGACTAAAATTAACTTACCACTGTCCAGCCTTGAAGGTGAAATCTTTCCTCTTCACATGTAATTTGAGCTGTTTGACAGTGGGAGAAATATGCTTCACTTCATTCACTACAGCAGGGCAGACCAACTACAAATGAGAAAAAATACTTAGATCAAGGGATGACTTTTAACCTTTGAATTTCATACAAATTGTAAATAAAATGATCTTGTTACAACATTTTCTTTTTTGTGTGTGTTTGTGTTAGTCATGTCTTGTAACATGCAGTATTTATTAGAGCAATCATGAGTGATGGTATGGGAAAAGTAAGAAATACATGTAATCTCAAGCCGATATGATATTATTATTCAAAGTAACCAATTTCCTCGTTACAGCATGGAAAAACACCAGGATTTCATGTCAGTATTCTATATCTTCCATAGTTCAAGGTCCCCAAAACCTTGCAGGTATGGGAATATACCTGTACTAGTAAACATCTGACCTTAAAGCACAGCTCTGCATAGGAATCAAGACTGCAGCATAATCTACACAAATTTGCCACTAATATTTGTATATAAAAATACTGTGTTTTATGTATTTAAAAAAAAAAAAAAACATTTACACTATCTTTATTAAATGACTTATAGATACCAGCAGATGACAACAATGTTATAAAATAAGTACGTTTCAGTAAAATTGACATAGAAATACAAAGGCTATGCATGGCAATAAAAATCTGGTATACGGTAACATGTTTAACGTATTATAATGAGTTTGTTACCTCTGATGCTGGATTCCTGATGTTACATGTATAAAAAACTACTCTATTTTGTTTCAGACAGTGTGTCTAGGTAAATTGCAATGCCTTCAAAAGAAATTTACTTAGGCTTTGTCTCCACCTATAGTTCACTATCAGGGCAAGACAATTGCTATAGGAAGTACTAGTTTGCATCTATACACTATGTTCTCTACTAGTACTCTTAGACCAAGTTTACATACCTAGATCAATCCAACAGGATCGATCCGTCTCCAAGGGATTTCTCATTAAATTGCTTTTAGCTTACGCAGCCTAATGTAGATGTCTGGCACGCCTACTGAAGCTACTAAACCATATAATTAATTACCCCCTAGCAGCTTCAGTAGGTGTGACAAACACAAGAGCTGCTTAAGTTGACTGCAATTTAGAGAGAATCCCCTTGGAGATAGATTGAAACACAGTCAGTACAATAGGGTCTGGGAATGGTCTCTCACACTGATACAGCTAAGTCAATCATACCTCTATCATGGAGTAGTTGGAGGTTACACACTGTCTCCTCTACTAGTAGAGCTATAGATACAGTAAAGCTCCCTACCTCTATCCTGGAGTTGTTGGCAGTTATGTCCAAATGATCCTGCTGGTCTTTGCCATGAGCTGAACTAGTCATTATACATCTACAAAATAGAATGAAAAAATAAAATCAAATATTTTTTTTCACACCCCCAATATAATAATAATAATAATAATTATAATAAAACAAAATAAATAAAAATAAAATTCCAGTTCTTTAATTAAAAATCCTTTTTTTAAATGCATTTATTAAAATCAATATTAATAAAATGAATTGGGCAGATGTTAATTTTGTTGCCAAACATCTGGGCAGTGACGCGCCAATGAACAACCAAACATGTTGGGCCAATGCTCACTTGCTACCTGGATTTTTTTCTTAAATTGCCAGAGTGACCTCATTCCCCCTTGAAAATGAAGAGGAAATTACCTCAGCATAACGCACTGTTTAATAGCACCCACTATTGAAGAAATTATTTAAATATATTATAACAATAAAATAATAATATTAATTATTATATTAATTATCAATTAATGAAAAAAAAAAACACCTTCAAGTTCTACAGGTACATACAAGAAAGCACTATCATTTCATATTTTACTGTGAATGTATATAGAAAATCTCAAGATAAATTATTACACTGTGTATAATGAACTGAATCCACAAAATGAGAAAAGTCAGCTAAGATGTCTTTTTTTGCCCTTCTTTTCCAAACATCTAAGGCACTTAAAGTAAATTTGAAAACAAACCAACTGGAAATCATATTGCCCTGCAAGTTGAACACAGGCAAATCAGAAATCTGACTAAAGACTTAAAAATAGAAAGTAATCTTGCAGTAATACAAAGGTCAACAGGCAACTGCAGACAGCCAGACCTGCTATGTATACAGTGTACATGGCTAGCACTTCTACCTGGAAATACCTGAAAGGTACGCACACCTCACCTTACTTTAACTTTGTCTGGTATTCTCACCCATATGAAGGTTAAATGACGATATACATGGTTTCTCTAATTTACGACAGACACAAAAAGATAACAACCAATCTACCATGAACGTCTAAAAGTTTGCAAGGGAAGTCACCTTCCAAGTATGGTCCGAAATGGAGGATGCACTCTTGAAATTGTAAGAAATCCTATGAGCGTCTTCATGTTGCTGCCAGCGCTCCTAGCTATTCTAGTCCCCACGCAAGAATGAAGCGAGGCATCTGTCTATTAACCAAAGGGGAGGAATATGAGTCTGGCTCTGTGAGAGTGGATAACCCTTGCCCCGTATGGAAAAAAAATCGCACATGTTCAATTTTGTTTAGGCTTTAACCGCATCTTAAGTGTGCGTCATGCCTACCTATTATTTCCAAAACAGACGTATATTTGAAATGAAATTTTCCCTGACGCGATATAGGTTTCATAAGCATGCAATTTGAGTAAGACAAACAAGGGATTCCTCACGTCTAAAGTTTTGTTGCATCACAAACTAGGTCACTTTAACTGGGTCAATCTTAAGCCCGCAAATATTAATGTTCAAATTTATACATTCATAGTTTTAAACTTTGAAATCTATAAATATTCAATCCATATAGATATTTTACTTTACATATTCATACTTTCTAATGACATCGATAGAAAGATAAATATTGTTTTATGAATTTATTACGAAAGACAGTGCAGGACAGTTCTCGAGAAGTCGACACAACTCCGTCAACTAAACGTTTGTTTTCTTCCTGTTTTAACTGAACACAAACGCAGCCAAGATGGGGAAAGGTTATAATAATTATATGAGCAAAAAGTTCTTTCATCCAGCAACATTTGAAAACATAAAAAGGGTAAGTTGATCTTTCAAAAACTTTGAAACTCCAATAACATAGCCACTAGATATAATTTGTTCCGAAATCATTATGCGAAGTGTTATCGGTATCATTCGATTCACCCTAAAATATTCGTAGACAGTTCACGAATCACTGTTTCGGAGGTAAACCTCCAACTTAAGTGTTGTGGGTAGATGAATTTAGAAACTAATTTGAGCGTTTTTTCTCTTTTTATAAATCTTTCTATAGCGAGTTTATAAATTCTCTCTCTCTCTCTCTCTCTCTCTCTCTCTCTCTCTCTCATATTTGCTGCATTTTAAACATTTATGTGAAGTTGCTTTCAATTAACAGTCTGCAACTTATGATTCTGCTTTGCTTCAGGTATGGATGGCCCAACAAAAGATTGACCATGCAAAAGCCAAGGAAGAGGAAAGACTGGCGCAGTATCAAAGGGAACAGGATGTTTATCAAAACAAGTATGTCATAAAAATATAACATGAATAAATAGTAATAGTTGTGAACAAGTAACTGTATGAAATGTTCAAGTGGACTTGAAAATTAATGATGAAATGTGTATCATGTTTGTACTACCTGGATTTAAATTCTCTTCGAAAAAAAAAAAAATCTATGGTAGAATTTATTTATTTATTTTTTTACAGAAATCAAAACTGAACTTCACAATACCAAAATTTTTGAATGTGAAAATAAAATTTAAAAGACTTTCTTTGTAGTAATTCTGGCTATTTTAAATACTTTCCAGAGCACTGCTGGGTGATGAGAAGGCAAAGATTGGGCTCAGTTTTATGTATGAACCACCGCCTGGAGCCAATAGAGGTACACATTGCTACTTATAACAATAGTACATGTCTTTTTATAATGCAGTAACATGTCTTTTTATCTTATGTCAGTCTTGCTGGTATTATTAGCTGAGTTAATATAATGTTGCATAATAGGGCTGAATTTGTATGAATCAACGCATTATTGATGAATACGTTGTTACAAGGTGTGGGATTTGATTGGGTAAAAGATCAGTAGCTTTGCAGGATATGCAGACATGGAGAATATGACTTTGGTAATTTTTTCAACAATTTTTCCTAATTTGTGATTTTGATGTGTTTCAGCCAAGGAAAAGGAAGACGATGAACCAGAATACAAGTTTGAGTGGCAGAGAAAGTTTAATGCACCCAGGGAGAAGTAAGTGTTTTGTTGAAATATAATCCACTCTGTATTTGTAAATAAAACAGATATGATGACTTTGCTAGACATGGTCATTTTTACTTGAAAGAAGATTATTTATCGGATAGATTGAATTTATGTAATTATACACCATATGTGGCATATAAAAACTTAAGCTTAAGGCACATTACAGCTTTTAGTTTGTGAATAAACCTTAGATCTGACAGTTGATGTCCTAATTTCAGTTATCGAATTTAGTTTTTATTCATACTAAAAAAATTGATACATATATGTATTTGATATAATTACAAATTTACATTGATGCAAAATTAACAAATTACAAATATATTTTGAATTTTTAAACCAAATGACTTTTATATCTGTAGTGCCTATATTTATCTTATTTATACTTTCCAGCTATGCCAAGGGAGATGAGACCATCCGTGACCAGCCATTTGGTATTGAGGTGCGCAATGTACGCTGCATTAAGTGTAAGAAATGGGGTCATGTTAACACAGACAAAATATGTCCCCTGTTTGGGAAGAACTTGACTGCAGAGCCCCCTGCACGTAAGTATTGTTGAAACTTAACAGCAAACCCACATTTTAGATATACAGTTTTTTTTTTATATAATCTGGTCATAATCACTTGCCTCACCCAAGTGTAGTAGAATTTAACTTGAGTATACATAAATCAAGGTACCAAACATTTTTCAGAAAAAGTAAGGAAATATGTGGTTGCCTTATAATAACTTTCATACACTAGCTTTCCTTAGTTTTTCATGAAAAAAAAAACAAAAACAAATAAATAAATAAATAAAATAATTTTAAAAAGGAGATTTAAATTAGTTAAGTCTTTTTGCTGATCTTCATGGATTGCTGAAGATCATTTTTGACCGAGTATACGAATTCATAGATTTTTTTAGAGAATTTGTTTTTAAATCTTATCTTATCGCTCACTTTGTCACCTAAGATATGATAATCAATTTATCAAACTTTCAGCGGGCAGCAGTGTGCCTGATTTAGCTGGAGACATGGAGAAAGACCAGGGACTGAAACTGAAGCAGAATGTCCTCGGGAAGAAAGTAAACCCCTATGACAGAAACCAGGTGGGTAAAAGGTTACTTCCCTTCTGCATCTCCCCTTCTCCTTCCTTCCTTTGTTTTCTTCTTCTTCTCCAGATCTCTCCCTCTCTCCTGTTACTTACTGATTCTGACTCAATTCACTCATTCTTTGTCATTCAAACATCAAAGTATTTACTCTATTTTTTAAATTTTTTGTATGTGAAATTAAGGCTTGTAGCCTCTGTAATCTGCTTGTTTTTTGTTTTTTTTTCAATCCCTGAATGGTTTCATCTAAGTTACAAAAATGAACATTTTTCACCACATGCACACAGAAACACACACACAATCAGGTAATATGAGTAGAAGTACTTATGCAAATATGGATGATCCTTCCTTTCATTTTTCAGCAACTTGTAGAGAGTGACCAAGAAGAGGAGGATCCTGAAGTTGCTTTCCTCAAATCCCTAACACCAAAACAGAAGAAGAAACTACTCAAGTAACACGTTTTAGTTAAAAATTCACTAGTGTGTCGTCTGTTTAAATTGGAATGTTAAGAAACATTTAATATTACATTTTTTTTTTTTGCGCTGTCAAAAGAGTTTTTATATTGATTTGTTTATATTTGAAATGTGGGGCATTCACATAGGATTTCAGAGGTGCTCCTTGTTTAGGTGCGGATAATTACAATTTGTATTATCAGAATTCTTGCTGTGGTACAGTAAAAATACTTAAGTAATATTTGTCATCTTTTTTTTCCAGGAAGCTTGATAAATTACAAAGGCAGCAGAGTGGCGAGGAGAAGAAAAAGAAGAAACAATCTAAGAAGAGGAAACACTCCAAAAGGGACAGCTCAGAGGATTCAGACTCAGGTTGGTATCAGCTATGACCACCCCTTATTATGTTATATAAAAAAAACTTTTGACATTATTGCATGTTCTGTCATTAAAGGATTATAATAGTTCCTATTGAAATATGGAACAAAGAAATTGCAGGGGTATGAGAAAAAAAAGGGCAAAAGAAAATACATCGACTATGACCCATAGTAGAACATTATTTATTGAATTTTTCATATGCCTCTCCAAATATCTGTGTCTTGTCATGCTAGATTGTAATCGTCAAAGCTGGAACTCATGCACATAAAAATATGTATACATATAGATAAATGATAAATAATAAGATTGCATTTTTGCAGAGAGTGAGCCAGATAGAAAAAGGAAAACAAGCAAGAAAAATCAGAGAAGTGATATCGATGACTCTGAGGATGAAGTCAGAGGTATGTAATATGAAAACACCAGATATTACCAGATGTTAATATTACTATTTTGGTGAGTTGTATACTAACTTGTTATCATGGCTGCTGGAAGCAGTGGAATTGATTATGTCTAATATTTTTGTGGTTGTTTTGTATCATGAAACACCTAAAAACCCAGAACTGTTACAAAAAATTAATAACCCATAGTTTGAGTACAGTTTACTTTTTCCTTTTAAATAAACATGATGATTTTCTTTTCACGTTCGACTAATAAACAATATGATGTCACTGGAAATAGAGTTGACAAACATGTACTAGTTTCATGCTAATGAGTGAATTTCTGCTATAATTTGCTTGTAGAACCAAAGAAAGGTTATGGTAAGAACAAGTATGTTAGACGAAGGTCACCACAAGAGCGCAGCAGACACCAAGACAGGCCAGACTCCAGGAGAGATGACCGTAGAAGGTCACCACCAGATAGCAGAAGGGAGAAGAGAGACAGGTAATACAAAATGTATCATGTACCAAATGAATAAAGGTCGGTGAAGCATGTGTCATGGAAAACTTATCACTATATTATTATATTTTCTCAACATCACTTTGTTTCAATTGATTTACATGTGGAACACGATTTAAAGAACAAAGTAAAAAATATCATTTTAACGTTTTGTCAGATATTTTAATATACATCGATATGTTGTTATACACGTTGTAGGAACAGAGAAGATGATGGCAGCAGCAGACGCCCGCGGGAAATATCTCCTCCCCACAGAGAGGAGCGGGACAGACGGGACAGGAGTCCAAGACGGAGAAGAACACGAAGCCAGAGTCCACAACAACGTGAGCGTGTAAGAAGTAGAAGTCCACACAAAACCGCAAGCCGGAGTCGCGAGGAAAGACAAAACAGAGACGTTGACAGACGCCCCAGAGGGGAGGACAGAAACAGCGAAAAGAGAGATAGAAGGGAGTCTGATAGATCTCGTGATAGGGAAAGGTCAAATCATGCCCAAGGCCATTCTAAAACAAGGCCACAGTCTCCCTCAAGTTCGTCGTCGTCAGAGTCGTCAGAATCCTCCAGTGACTCAGAAAGCGAGGCAGAAACAAAATTTGTGAAACGGGAGCGAGAAGAAAAACGGACGGAACAACATGGCAGAGTAAAGAGGGAAAATGGAGAACGTAGTGACGATAGGAGAGAGAAAAATTATGATAGAAAAACTTCTCATGAGAGACCACGTGATATCAGTAAAAGAAAGTGATGACTGGCATATTTGATGTTGACATGCGACAAACACTCATTTGAAATCTTTGATAAAAATTCATGAATGTCGGAATGGAAAAACTGACGCGTAGAAAACAAAACGTAGCTGATGCTAACCTGATGAAGTGCTTATGAATTGAATTTTAATTGATGCCTTTAATGTTATAATGGTGATTTTAATGTACACTGAAATAGTGACGCTAGTTTCTTAACTGAATTCAAAAGTAACCTCATATTGAGAGTGAACGATATATATGATCCAGTGTTCTAAATATACGTTTAAATAGAGATAATCTACTGCGTTATGAAATTGTCGAAGGATACGCAATGAACAATATAACCAATTTTCAAATGTTACTGGATTATGTGTCCTAATCAAAAGAAAATGATAAAATAAAACTGAAAGTGAAGAGGTTAACGGTTATGGCGCCATCAACTCTATTCACCTTAGTAAATTAATTTAAAAAGTATCCTTTAAATGAGGTGAGTAAATGTGAAGGAAAGGTTTGTTTCTTTTAATATTACAGCAAAGAAAGTAATATTACAGATGCTTGCATCTCAATCAGTAAAGGCTTAACTGAAAAATAAGTGTGGACAGCTTCAAAGAAAATCCAGACTCGCTGATTTATTGGCTCCAGACCGGGCGTTGACCCCTCAGCGACCCTCCCGACTCACAGGGTCCTTCCGGTCGGTGAAACGAAACTGAGGGTCCGCGTAACAGAAAGTCCGCCCCCCCCACCCATTTGGTTGTGATGGTTAGGGTAAGTCTGACCAAAGAGGGTCAAAATCTAGGGCGTTGCTTACCTGGACAAATGAATGGAAGGCGGACTCTATCATGTGCCACCCGTGACACTTTACATCGGTATATGACCCTATAACAAGTTTCAGTTTATTACAAGGCTCAGCATACTGGCCAAGCAGTCCCCCTGTTGACGTCACATTTGAACGTCGTTACGCCACACACAAGCAAACGTCCCGTTGACGTAAGATACTTATATAATACGTCACAAGTAAATCTGCCCGATCAACAAAATCTGTATTACTTAGCAACTTGAGTGGTCATTTGTTTTATCTTTAGCGATATATTCTACGTTTATTTCAAACACTCCTGTTGAATCTAATCGGAATGTTAAGACGCACGCGCAACGATGGGGTACGTGATACGTGGCTTTTTTTAAATTTTCAAATTTTTAGGTCGTTGCTTATTTTCTCTGGAAAAAAATTTATCTAGATTATATATGTTACTTTTTTGTTTCTGAGATCTTTTTTCCTCTTGATGGTATACTATTTAAATGTAAAACAATTAAAACGTATGAATATTTGAATATTTTTATAATTTAAAAACTCTAAATTTTGCGACCCAAATCTACCCATTTTTCATTTCTTATAAACCCAGGCCCGGGAACAGTCTGACCAGTCTATCTGGAGGCGGTGGTGTGCGTGGATTTCCGACGTTCATGTGAACTGTCTTCTCTGCACTGTGCGCATTGATGAACAAACTGGTACGTAATATGCACATATCGTCTTTGTAATTTCATGTCCTTTCTTTTATTTCACCATAACCCAGCTTTGAAAGCATAATGGAAAATAATTCAATAGGTATTTTTTTATTTTAAAGTCTATGAGAGAAATATATTATTGAAACCACATAAACTTACAGAACGCAACAGAAGCAGAAGTCAGAAATACGTGGTAAAAACAGACGAAAGAGCTGAATTACCTGAAATACGAGCAGAAGACACGGGTGCGGATGTAAGAAATGGTGAGAACGCCGTTGCAAAAGAATAATTAAATAAATATAAATGAATAAAATATAATTTAATTAAATAAGAATACTTTAGATTGAAATGTTCTCTCTATCTCTTTTTTTTACATCCCCCCCCCCCACACTCTCTCTCTCTCACTCTCTCTCTCTCTCTCTCTCATGCTGATTGGGAGTATTACTCGTTTTCAAATGGTTTATTTCAAATGGGAGTACACACAATGGACAATAGAAGTGTCACCCCCTGAATCAGAGTAATCAAAGTAGGTAGATCTTGAGTAGTTATAATGCCTGGTCTACTTATAATGTGACTAATGAGTATAAAACCGCTGTACCATGGAATTGTATTGTTGGTCTTTTTGGGAAATTATATGTTAATAAAATGATACCAGGAGCATATCATTCCACAGTCATTTATCTCCCCCAAAGTATTGGTTCAGTAGGGGTGACACTTATTATGTCCAGTGTGTGTAAGTCAGTAGGCCCCTATTGTTCACCGTTTCACTATTCTGTTCTGTTAATAAGGAATGTTACTTGCTCATTTTATGCTTTCACAAGTGTTTGGCTCTGGAACATATGACTTTTGTTAGTAGAAATCCTCTCCCGAATCGAATCAAAGAAAAGAGAATCGCGTAGGAAAACAAGGAAGACTAGAACGCAGAGCACGAAGACAATATCAGACTCGAGGCCAACTGGAGGTACGTCAGCGCGTGTCTGCTCTCCATGTCCCTAACAGTTCATTTTTCTACTGTGTGTTGTGGCCAAATAGCAGTAAAAACAATATTACGAAGCGCTTGTTTTAAATAACAGACCCTTCCAGCAAGTTTAAAGACTGTAGCTTATTTTGAAAAAAAGTCACTTTTTAAGAAATTCTGTCCGTAACGATCATGAATAGCTTAATAATCCAGGGGTGGGGAACTTGAACTAAAAAAATCATAAATATATAAATAATGTAAATCTACAGATATTGGCAAATTCACATCGTTATATCATTTTGTATAATGGCAGATGTTATATTATTATTTTCCTTTGTTTTTTAATGTCAGAGGATGAGATAACGTTCACGGATATAACAAAGTTTACAGTCGCAGAACCTGACGAAATGTATCTAGAAGACCTAGAGGGTGAACTGCACGGTAAATATATTTGGTGTCTCGATTAACTTTCGCCGCCTGATGTTTTGAAACAAGCTATTTTTATTAGCTGTATATTGAAGTTACACACTCTGAGTTGGTACTTCAAGTTTAAGAGACTGATAACGTTATAGCTAGACCATTACACAAGATGGTCACCTAAACGCTCGGTTTGGCCATTAAAAAAAAAAAAAAAAAAAAAAAAAAAAAAAAAAAAAACTCGTCAAAACAGCAAGAAGCAAACTTAGAAAAAGAGAGTTCTTTAACGCCCGTGTTAAGACCTCTCACTGTATTGACTGTATCGCTGACGCATTTGTATACCACTACATGTGCAGAGGCCATAGACATATAAGCAGAACTTTGGGTATAGTTCTCACGGTTTTTGGATTAAAGATTTCATTATGGCTTTTCTCGGTTCTTTAATTAATCAACACTTCTTTATAATTTACATTTCATCAATTCAAATGGAAATTTTTCTGTCCATAGATGATGATCTGTATTCGCTGTCACCAGATGTCACCAGTAGCAGAGCAAATCCTGTCTTGGACTACTCCCACACGTCCGGAAAGGGGCTCTAAAGTTATGGACTTCACTCCTTTGTGAATATTGTTGCGTTTTATTACCGTTAAGTGAGTGGACCATGGAATGTTTTGTGCATCATGGAATTATTTTGGAAAATATAATAAACACCTGCACCCATCAACTACATAATATAACAATTAAGCTGTCTCACTTGGTGAAAGAAATAACATTTAGGTTACCATCCAAATTGCGCCATTAGAGCCTAGTTTTCTGTTTGCTCCACCACAGCTACATAAGGGCCTCATACGCATTCTTTTAAGCCTTGGAAATTTTTCGAGAGAACCAAGAGACAAAAGAAATTTTATACGAAATGGTTTATTTACAACATTGCTCGATTCACATCTCCAGAATTCATTGTCACACAGCAACCGCTGGATGACGGTAATATTTTTTATCTATTCGTCTTGAATTCTCTTATTTCATTTCATCCTCCAGTCTTGGAGAAGAAAAACTGAACATTACATACTCGTCATGACAATTTTTCACACAAATTTTGGTAATCAAATGATTAAAACTGTCGTCTGCCAGGAGATAGGTATAGTAATCAGAACATATTCTTCATCCTTAGCTGCTACTTTCTGTACATGTTGTGGTTTCGCAGTCTTTATCGTTAAATTTTCTCCACATCTCTATTTAATCGGATGAATGTGTGGCACAACTCAACACCGATCACGCCAACAACTTGCGCCACTACAAGGCGCTGTATGCTTAACACAGCTCAGACCCGCGACATGTAAATCTAAAGCACACAGCAACACCGCTCTCCGGTGTAATTAAACTTCTCATCGATTTCTTGTCAATTCGTTCAAGTTCATCCTCACAGCCAATACGGCGTTGTTTACCAACCGAATCGCGTTCTGTTACATACAGTTTCTGTGTCAGAGATCAGTGAAACGGTGAGAACTTCTCTCGCCAGATTTTGACAATTTTCTGTGGGTGGACGAGATTTCACCGGTGACATACATGAATTATGTAATTTAAAGACGTGGTGCGAGACAGATATTAATTCCTGCTTACAGCATGGGCATTACCGTCTATATGTCGCTTTGAAACATCGCAAATTCTTTAAGTTTTCAGAGTCTGCTACCTCAGACATTGAACGCTGTAGTACAAATGCCAGACAACACGGCGTTTCACAAAGTCCCGAGTCAGCCTACAAAACCACACCTGTCCTCCTGTTTATTCTCTGTGGCTTATAACACCACATTCAAGTTCTTTACAGGGAATTAAATCCGCACCACTGTCCTCTATAGTATATAATCCAGCTCGTATCTGATGTAGTTGTTCTTCTCGTCATTCTGTATCCGTGGGAAGGAGGGGATCATCCCGTCCTGGGCTCCTATGTACACCGTGTTATATACCTTCCAGTAGACGTCGCGTACCTTACGGGCTGGGTGGAACAGACCCTGTAATAGAGCACGAAGTTTTTGTATTAGTTTAACGCGGTGTGTGTAATCTAAATACAGGTATATAACTATTACTGAAATCGTAAGTATGCTGTATGTAGTGCTTAAGCATAATGACAGGGAAGATGTCACTTTTCATCCATAGGAATATTTAAATACTTTTCGTACTAAAAAATGGAAATTTATTTCATTTTACGTTCATCACGACAAGTAGGCCAACCAAGCAGAGACGGGTAGTTGGCAAGTGCTCGTTTCCTCTAACCACAACCAAACTGTATCACTTACCTGCATGGCATACTGTAACACTTTGGCAGGTCCCAGGCCCACCCTCATCCCCTCTATAGCCCCCATGAACGCCTGCACCACGTGGGGTGAGGTTTCAAACACGTTGGGCCAGACGTAGTTTAGCAGGTGGGTGAGTGCGTCCTCACAACCAAACCCGTACACACCTAGCGCAATGTGCTGGATGGCCGCCATGGACGTCTGACGGTGGACAAGGTCTCTGGAAGAATATTAATGAAAAATATGGCTCATCAACTAAGTTACACATTCCCACCTCAGGGGAGCTTTATAAAATTATGTGAAGGCAAGTAAAATACTTTGTTGGAGGGCATATACCTACTAGACCATTGAAAGAAAATACTTTTCTGTCTGGGGCTAACAAGTAATGGCCCTTCTCCCAGAAATGATCTTTTACGAACACATCCAATGCATCTTTTACTCTAGCGTTAAGGCCAGTTTCCCCCGCTTCACCCCATCCCCCTAAACACTTCAACAGAGCCCCTACACCCCACCCGCTTAGCACTTATAACACCCAACTCACCTGTCCATTAGTGCATCTTCAAACAGCGGCGACACAGCGTAGATATAATCCTTCCCCATCTCCCCAATGTACTCAAACATGAAGGACAGGGACTTGAGGACGCCGTTCTGTACGTTCAGCTCGGGGACCCTGTACTCGTTCATCAGCCCGGGGAGGACGGTGAACGGGGAGCATGTCTCGGCCACTATGGCGATGGCCACGGTGGTACACACGCGGTTCTGACGCTCCTGGACCTTGAGGTTGTTTAACAGGGTGGCCAGCACATCGTGAGGGCTGGAACATATAAATATTTCAATTATGCAAAATTTTCTTAAAACTTATGTGTATTATCATTAATAGCACTGTGATCATAATTATTAACATTCTCACTACCATAACAAACAAAATGTTTCATTTGTCAGTCTAAGTGACTTGGCACTTATTATCAAATACAATTACGCTCTTAAATATTACCGAAATCTAATGACAGTATGAATGTTAGATTTCAATCCATTCTCAAATGTCAAGATCCCATATAATATATTTTACAAAAGACAAACACCCCATTCTCATAGATTAGATCGACCTACATTGGATCGACCTAACTCCCTGGGGGTTCACGCTAAATAGCTGTCAGCCGGGCGGACATGAAAGTTAATTATCCCTTTCTGTTTGTAGTAGGCGGGGACGGACACTTAAGGCGGATTATCTGACAGTAATCTAGTGAGACTCCCCGCGGTGATAGATCGATCTAAAAGTTGTGAGAACAGAGCCAAAGTAACTAACCCAATGGCCTTGGCGATGTAACCAAATGTGTTGACGGTAGCTCTGCGGATGGCTTTCTTGTGTGCCTTTAGCAGCTCCAGGAGCTCAAAACATATCCTCATCCACTCCCTGGCTGACACGAATTCTGCCCCTCTGTCTGCTATACGCCCTACCAGGTCAATGCAGTTCTCCTGGACCTTCTCGTGTCTGGAACAGAACAAATCCGCTCAGTTAACATTGACAAGCTATTCCACATGGATTACTCATTGACATATTAGTACTCAGTGGATGCCATACGCTATGAAGTCAGCTGATTTTATTCATTGAGGTAAACCAACCTTTTTCCTTAAACTACAGTTACTACAAAAGATGTATACCTGAGACATTAAGTCAATCAATGACATGTCACACTTGGGTTTTACAACTGCTACACATTGTCCTTCTCTAGTTTCAGAAAAGGAACCCCCAAACTGTTTAACAATCACATGAAAAACACATTAAATTTTCCAGGTATTAACCGGATTAGCAATATCTAAGATCATTATATCTAAGTCATCATGCCATCCTCTCACCTGTTCTTCAAGATAGGTGTCAGTCTGGGCAGCAGATCTTTGATGGGTGGGGTCATCTTGGTCATCCCTATCACATTAACTATAGCCTTCAGGGCACCAAGAATACTTCCCAGAACTTCAGGGTACTCCTCTCCCAGGTACTCATACAGTACCACACCCAAGTGACCCATCAGCTTCTCCTGAAATATAGAACACAGTCAGGGTTAGTGGATTATCTAGACAGTGAACTTCAGGGTACTCCTCTCCCAGGTACTCATACAGTACCACACCCAAGTGACCCATCAGCTTCTCCTGAAATATAGACCACAGTCAGGGTTAGTGGACTATCTAGACAGTGAACTTCAGGGTGAAATTTTTCAAACAGTTCTCTTAAGTTGAATAAACACATTTAAAAACAAGCAATGAAGGACTTGCAAAAATAAATCAAGCACACTTCTTATACTAGTCTTCACCATTTTCCTTAAAAAGGATTTCTATCTGGGCAGCAGCCAGTTCCTCCTCAGCAAAGAAATGTTCAATTTACTATACAAATGAAAATCAAGTTTGTTTTACCTACCACATTATAACATAAAATCTGCCCCTCCACAAAAAATAAACATACAACAACAATAATAATAATAATAAAGAATTAATAAAATTAGAAGAAATCAATAATAACTGACCTCCTGGCATGTCTTCATGACCACAGCAATCTTGGAGATGAGGTCCGCGGCCTGCTGTCTGACCTTGGCTGACTTGTTGTTCAACCTCCATAGGATAGTACCACAGATCTGGGGTAGGTACGGCTTCACTCTCTTGGCCAGGGCATTGACCACTGTGCCAAAACCATTCAACATTACCGAGTCCTGGAATATAAAGAGAACTGGTCAGACAAGCCATTCAGCATCACTGCCTCCTTGAATAATTCATATACACATGATTTAAGAGAGTGTTATAATTAAAGGGTAAATTAACAGGTTCAGGTTGACGGAGTCCAGTTATAGATAGATTGTAGGATGTATGATTATGATAATTATCATTTCTTATCAATAATGATAGCAAAATACAGTGGTTTAAATACACAAATAAAGCACAGCCCCAACATAACAAGAATAGCAAGAACACACACACACACACACACACACACACACACACACACACACACAGACACAGCATAACCTTACCTCAGTGGTCTGTTCCTGGAAGGCATACAGTATCCCATCAATCAGCTGCTCCTCCAGCCTGGAATCGATGTCAGAGGCGCCCAGGTTGGCCATGATCTTCTCAATAGTTTCCATCACCATCTTGCGATACTGTTCTGCCTCATCCTTTAGGTCGTCAACCACGCGGCTGATGATCTCTGCTGCACCCACCTTGTTGGCTATTTCCACAGTGGTGTCCACCAGCTAAAAACAGTAAGTAAGATCAGGGCTGATTAAAGAATCCAAGGTAAATACACTAGACTAGTTTTTGTGAATAAGGAATACTGTAACAACAGGGAATGTTAAATTGAACAATACGCCTCTTAGGGTGTCTAGTTTAGTATATTCAGGGTCAACTCTATTCTGGGTCAATTGTTTATCCTGCCAAAATGAATATTAAGCCACTTCCCCCCTTTTCACCCATATCAAGGGTTTAGCCAGTGAGTCTGGACAGGACAGCCTGTTCAAGCAAAGGGCAGCCCAACTTATAGCTGGATGAGTTGCTTAAATTTATACAGCAAAACACCTTAACCCCCCCATACCAAAATTCAAACCCCTGGCTAAACCCCTGCCCCATACAATGTAGTATTTTCTTTACCTGTCTATAGTTGCGTCTGTCCAGCGCCATCCTCTGGTTCCAGAAATGTTTGAAGAAAGCTGGTAGAATCTCGTCCTTGATATACTGTGGCTCCACACCATCTGTGGCACAACACTGCTTCACCACCTGGGGAGAAAACAGTCTTTCTTTAATGTTTGTGAATAATAATTATGATCAAAGTCACTAACAAGTTAGGGTTTTGAAATAAAATGTTTGTCTTGTCTTCTACAAAAGGTTCTTCACCAAAAATAAATAACAAGAAATGGACCAAAATGGAACATTTGAAACCGTCATGACTATCTTTCCTTTTTTTAACAATAAAAGTCGATTGGTACTTATATCTCATATACAACTGTATCTCACATACTAACTGAACTTTCAGTTTTTATTCTGATACATCATCTGTACCTTGAGCACAATCTTCTTCATTTCCTCGTCGGGGGACTGGAACTCTCTGATCAGAATCAACATCACCTCTCGTGTGTAGTAGTTGGCGTACTCGGCGTCCATCAGGGGGATCAGGTAACCAATGGCCTTCAAGAAGGCTGCCAGACCCTAAACATTACAAATAGTTAAAACCTTAAGTTAAGATTAACAAGCATGCATAATAAGCAAAATGTATATAAATTTAGTTCCAACATATTTTAAAACATGCAAAAAGGCATCTACAACAAATAATCAATCAAACATGTCAGAAATAATATAATGGTATATACATTTAAAAATCTTTCTGATAACAAAATCTTTATAAAATTTAAATAAGTGATTAAAAAAGTTAAAATTCCATATCACAAGATATTAATATGTGGAGTGCACAGTCAAATGGACACCTAAACATGACTTCCCACACAAAACACCTCACCTTTCCTCTATGTTGTCTGATACCCTTCCAGAGAGGCTTGAGGACGCTGTCAAAGGACTCGATACCGTAGGGTGTGGCGGCCTCTGCCAGCGCAGCCAGGGCCAGAGCTGTGATGGTACGTACTTTCTGCTGCTCATCTACCAGACCTGAGGAGAAGATAGGATTGGATTGAGAACATGCCACAACACAGACACACACTGGCTAATTAAATGGTTATTACTGGATGCTAAAAAAGTTTTTAGTCTAACATCGTTTTTAGGTATGCATACGATGTTAATCATATTAGAACCAGTGAATAAGTGTAAATAATTTCCCACAAAGCAGGCAAAAGAATCCTACCCCTAGAGTTAAGAATTGTACACATAATCATCCTCTAAAATATTACACTATATTGCTGCACCTGTTGTCACAGTTTTGTAGAGCCACAAGAAAACATTCACAACTCACCATGTTCAATGATCTCCACCAAGTTTTTCAAGTGTGGCAGAATGGCGCACCCCATCAAGATGGCGATCTGCTGCACAATCTTTATCCCAGTGTGACGGGCCTGCCAGGACTTCTTACTGCGGCACACAGCCTTCAAGAAGGGCAGTAGTGATGGGATGCCCAAGGCTGAGGCAACCACGGCGAATGCTCGTGCCGTGGTGTTACGCACATACTCGTCCAAGTTGTCAATATCTGGCCTCATTGTGGAGATCATGGTGGCCAGTCCAGCCGCCTAGAAGTACAAATTATACACATAAAAAGGAAGGATCAACTTTTTTTTTGAAAAACTACAAGAGTCAACAAACTTGACATGATCACCTGTTTAAAACAATATTTTCTCAAAAGTCAATTTATTAAAGAAAACAAAACAAATCAAACTTTTACCAGTTATGAACAAAAAGTTTTGTGTGGGTGTATATATATATCTAAACATTGATTTCCATCACATTTTATCTCCAAACCAAAACAAGTGCACCATAATTGCTTTGTACACAATTTATCCATACCTTAGCCAAGTTGGAGATGATCTCTCTGCCCTCCACTCTGGCGTAGTAGTCCTCATCAATCAACAGCGGCTCTATCACCACTAATATCTTGTGTACATATGGACGCACCAGGTCATCCAGCTTGTACAGGATGCGATCTATGACCTTCACCAATAGATGGCGCTCCTGGTCCTCCAGGGTGGGAGACATGAGCAGGGGCAGGATCTGGTTGAAGAGAGGACCCGCACCAAACTCTCTGGCCTTGTCTGTGATCTGTCGTAGTGCAGCCTGAAATGTTGTAAATAGAAAATGTTATCTATATCCACCCATCTTTTTCTTCTATCAATATTTTTTTCTTTTAGTACCACAGAATACTCTTTGAATGTCAACAAAATATATATTTTATCAAACACAGTCTGTTAAACAGATGCACTCATGAGCTTACACTTTTCTTTTTGGGGGAAGGGGGGGGGGTGAAATTTTTTTTGGAAGGGTATCACAGCATCTTGTTTTTCATTTTTCCTCACCTTTCTCATAGGAGGTGTACCATTCTTGATCTTCAGGAGAAGTTTCATAATCTTCCTCTCTTTCTGCTCTTCTGGAGACAAACTTTCCTCATCAACATCAACCTGAAACGGTAATAATTACAACTTTACAACAATAACAACAAGAACACATTACTTACTGTGTAATACATTCACTGTGAGATGTTAACTGTTAACTGAACCTCCAAGCACAAACCCAAAGTCTCTCAGTGGCAGTGACCAACAAGCTGAATTTTCCAAGGCAGGCAGAGACTAAAATAGCCATTAACATCAAGCAAACTTCTCTTCCCTGTAAGTTGCCTACCAGTAGCTTATCAATTAACACTAACTTAGGAAACTTCTCTTCCCTGCGAGGTACTTACCAGTAGCTTATCAAAGTACTGCATGTCATCAGGCTTCATCATGGGCAGGTTCCCCTTGGGCTGCATGTCCACCACCTGAACATTGTGGTCTGGGGTCTGCATTCTGAACCCCATGGGGGTCCCGCTGGCCCCACTCATCATCGGGGTCGGCGTAGCAACCAGTTTGCGAGCGGGAGTCCTGATGGGGATGTAGCCTGCTGGAGGAGCTAGCGCCTGGAGGAGAGATGTGATAATATGGTTATAATATTACACCCGAATCATACATTTATATATATAACTTATCAATTGTCTTATACCAACAAATAAATCGAAAATAAATTTGTTAGAGAAGGAAGGGCCTGGAGGAGAGACATGATAATATGGTTATAATAATATTATACCCACATCATACATTTATATATATATATAATACATCAACTGCCTTACATAAACAAATATATCCGAGACCTCTCTATTGATTTATCCAATGTTTTGTTTGGCCAGAAGGCTCATCAGAAGATGTTAAAAAATTGTTACATATTCTAACACTTCTAACTGCTAGTTAAGGAACATTTCTAGGCTCCCCTTCCATCCCCTCCCCCAAAAAGGGTGAAACAATCTTCTGCCTTAGTTTCTACCCTCCCTTTATTGGTAATATATACCCTTCCTCTGTACCCACCTTGTAGCCAGGGGGGAACATGGTGTCCAGCTCCTCATCAGTGAGGGGTCTGTTCCTCTCATCTATCTCCCTCTGCCAGGTGTAAGCCTGCAGCTGCTCTGGGGTCATACTCATTAACTGCCCTGGGGTGGGGGTAGCCATCCCCATAGCTGCCTGACCACTGGGGGTCACACCACTGGGGGTAAACCCACCGGGAGTGGCTCCCCCTGGGGTCATGCTGCCTGCAGGGGTCATCCCCCCAGGGGTGGTCATACCGGCTGGGGTCATAGCACTGGGCGTGGCTTGGCCAGGGGTCTCATCCCAGCGGGAGCGGCGCTTTGAGGCCCCTGGGGTGGGGGTGTCTTGGATCTGGTCCCCAACGCGGTCTGTGCGTGGTGTCTCAGCCCAGCCACTGCCATGACCAGGAGTTTCTGAATGAGAAGTAGTTTATTTTAAAACAGAATTATTTCCACTTCGAGTGCAGTAAATTAAACCCCATTACCTAACCTTGCAAAAGTTAAAGAAATAACTGTACAGGTTTTATCCTTAAATATGAATATCTTATATAAAAGTCAACTGAATTAAATATAACAATTACTGAAACCATTTTGAAAATGAGGTCAAACACACCTGTTCCAACATTTTTGTATGATAAGATTGTAATAATTGTGATATCATCCCTAAATACCACATATGACCACCCTGATGGTACCTACCTCTCTCAGTCCTGGGGGTCTCATCCCAGCGGTTCCTCCTAGCACTGGGGGTCCCTTGATGTCCCGGGGTGGTATGTCCCGGTGTATCCCGGCCAGGCGTGGCAGCTCCTGGGGTAGCGTGACCCGGGGTGGCTTCCCACATCCTGGTACTGGGTGTGGCCATATTCCCGGGGGTCTCTCCCCCCTTCTGTCTCCCTGGAGTCTCATCCCACCGTGCCTGGGACGGGGTGGTGGACTCGGCGGCATCCCAGCTGGACTTCTTCTTGGCAGGTGCCGTGCCATCTTCTGCTGCCTGGTCCCAACGACGTCTCTTTGCAGACTTGGCGGCCGAGTCGCCGCTGCCGTTGCTTACTTTCAGAGTGCCCTCTTTGGCCTTCTCTACCATCTGTTGCTGGAGACCACGCTGTGTGATAAATACATGGACTGGTTAGTTATCATAGTGAAAAGTAAAACATTGTCACTTATTTCAAAAACATTTCCCATGGTAAGAATATAAATAGGAAAATCCCTGATGCATTAGGGATCAGCAGGGGACAAAAAAAAAAAAAAAAAAAAAAAAAAAAAAAAAAAAAAAAAAAAAAAAAACCTATAAATTATTATATTTCATTGATGGATCTAGATTTCCAGAATGATAATTATAGCGATCATGGACAAGAGCAGAAATATGAGTGCATGAAGAAGTTCAAGACACTTGTGAAGGTTAACAAATTTTATAATCTACCTGCTCCTTGGTCAATCTCTGTTCCCGGAGAATCTCTGCATACGTCCTCATGCCAGATAACATCTTAGGGTCTGGAGTTTTCCCACCTGGAACGACAAAAGAAAAAGGTCACGACACAGGTCGCGACGGGAAAGTTCGGACTTTAGTATGGTTGTTGATGAAGTTCTTATCACTATAATTTACTTTAAAACATATAATCTTGACAATAAGTAAACACTCAGCAGTTTGCACTCTTGTTTCAAATGTATCCAAGAACCTCTTCTCTCTCCTCACATCTTCATTCATAAAATCACCTATTTTTTTAAAATTTTAAGACAATTTAACAAAAGCACACAATATCAAGTTACACCTGTCTAACAAATACTGCATTAGAGCAGCTCACTGCTGAGTGTTTACAGAAAACCATGGACTACATCATCATAGCAAAAACCAAAAATATGACACTTATCAGTAATACAGAGCTGAAATAATCACATAAAATATGACAAAGCAGTACTATAATGAGGATAATAATAATAGTAACTATAAAATATATGTATATATATATAATAACAATACAGGTGGCACGGCCATGATGTCCCAAAGTAGCTTATTCAGTGAAAGCATTCAAAGACCCTTGTAATGCTGTAGGGTTGAACTAGACCACATGGGACAAAGAATGGCCGCCCCCTAGTTACAATACAGAACCACTGGGCATTGTCTCCTTATAAAGCCAAATTTTTTCTTACACCCTGGATTTACTGTTGACATATACTCGAAAAAATACCACTGCGGCTGATCACTGATTGATTAACCAGCAGTTTTTCTCAGGGGAATTTTCCACCCAATCCCCATTGTAACAGTTCTGTATTGTCCAATCATCATTCACGACTCATTTTATCATTTCTTCATAAAAAATGAGTGAACAAAGCAAAAACAGCCTCATTCTTGTTACACAATGATGTAGTCCACGGCATGTAACAATCATAGAGCAAAACATACGTACGGTTACCAGCGTCCAAGTTGCCATGGAAACAGTAGTCAAGTCAAGTTCCTATTGGTCAAAAGTGTAGCCCTAGAATAATGCTCTAGATGAGTGTAGTTTTGGATGGATGATTGAAGCTTTACAACAGGGCAACACGAGTGAAGCAAAAATATATTTTTAGCTTTTTTTAATCGAGAAATATTTCACGGATAATCTTTTGTTTATAAAACACTCTATTAACTCTTTGAGGCACAATAAACATTTTGTTTCTTTCAATAATATCTGCCTGTCAGCCATGTTCCCCTGTGTAAAAAGCTATGGTGTTGTTTGCTATGGAGGTCAAAAGCTGAAAATGGGGCTTGACTCTCGGCCAAAACTGAGCTGTTTTATCTTTTACAATCTCCCAAAATCCACCAATTCAACAATAACTTAAGTGACACAAGTATGACAAAAACATTACAAAATGTTCACAATAATGTTATTTTAAAATTCATAGCAGCACTTATTTCACCTCCAAACAGTATGAAATGTGCATTACCTACCATACACTTTGTATAGGAAGATATTTAAATTATTTTTTAGACTGAGATTTTGCCTATCATGTTTTAGTCAAAGCCCCTGTAATTTACGCCACCTATAACGCTTTAAAGTCTGCGGCCGCTCTCCGCCATGGGCATGTATAGTTTTCAAGATGGCCGCTGCTCAGGAGGAAAAAGATACAGATTAGTAATGGTCTGTCTTGAGATGAGCCTTAACTAATAATGAATCAATGAGTCACTTATACTCCAAACTGATACATCCACATCACACGTGGATACACATGGCAGCAGTGCCATCTATCCACTCTCACAACCTACTTCATGTAACTGCTTTCCGTAGTAGATTTTAACCGCCTCCTTTTTTTTCCCTCACATCCAAAATAAGACACCCAAATCTAATGGTCTGTTTGTAAACCTAAACACTGCCATCACTGTCACAATAAAAAGTTTTTTTTCAAAAATATTTTTGCCAATAATTTTTGTGTTCTACAAAAATCACATAAAGACAGTTATCATGAAGATGCCATTCTTCCACTCTACACCAGTCATTCCCATCACACTCATATATATATCTCACTTTTATCTAAAAATAAAAAAGGACTTGCTCACAAACAGCATCTCAACTGTGAGACCTCCCCCCCCCCCACACACACAATCTCCTACACAATTTCATCATCACCATAATAATAGATATAAAAAACATGAAAACAATCAATTAAGAATAGATATGGATGAAATATAGCAGTAATAAGAGTGTTATAGAATCAAACCCACCTTCAGCAAAGGGGTCATGCCTCTCTGGTGAAATGATCATCTGACGGCGCCTCTTCTGATATTCATTCTCACGGTCTGTAATCTTTGGCACCCTGTGCTCTGCAAACGGATCATAGTCCTGGGGCGAAAAAAAAGATACAAATTATAATTACAGGCTTTCTAACAAACATATAATTAATTTTCTATAAACAATTTTACACATTTTAAGTCTTTATAAGTGGTAGTAAATGAAACAGATACACTACACAATTCCACTCTATCTTGATTAAATTGATACAATTACCAACACTGCAGGGGTATGTGATATCCCCCCCCCTCACTTGGGCTTTGGAGGTATCTACATCTTCCTTTAGAAAAAAAAAAAAATAATAATAATAAAATAAATAAATAAAAAAGTATGTTTACCTTGTCATTTCCCACATCAGTGAGATAGTTAAGCGGTGCTGTGTACTGCGTCTTCTTGCCAAGCTGTATGTTGGTGCTGTAGTCATCATCATCCTGGAATTATGTTGGAAAAAATATAAAGCCGTTATAAAAAACTTAACTTGACCATCTTGGATATCAAAATATTCCTTTTCACTCGGATAGTGATTTCAGTTATTTATGAACAAATCTTCTGACTTGAAGCACCTCCATTTCCAGAACTCTTGGATTGACAAGTTTTATAGTGATAACAATGCATTAATTCATAGCATATGGCACTGTTAACATTTATTTTAAAAAAATCAGATGAAACAATGGCAATAGTCTCCTCAGAAATGAACCAACATCTGCTTCCAGTTATACCACCTTTTTCACAAACCAGTTTGACATTTATTTGAGTATCAGAGAATTGTTAGGATGAGATTTAGACCATCATAATATAAGTTGGCCATCCAAACAGGAAGTCAGAACTTAATACTAAAGTGGGGGCTATGACTATATCAGTTGATAAAGATGGAGTGTCATCAGTAAGAGTGACCAAGCTCAAGCCAGAAATTGGTAAATTCATAAAAAAAGTAAATTTCCAAACTAATCATAATTACCCTTCAAAGTATACAATCAGCAAGTGAAAGCCTACTTACATCCTGGTCTTCATTGGGCGCTATGGATGTGACATAACCATCATATTTCCCTTTATTTGAGCTGTAAATATCAGTATCAAAATGGCCCTCTTCTCCAAGCCCGACCCTCTCCTCCTCTGTGAGGTTTGCCAGGCCCTGCTTCTTGGACTGGAGGCTACGCACTTGCTCCTCAATTTCTGGAAGTATGATGCATATTACTAAATAAACATTTAATGAAAATTGGGGAAAATAGAGCCAGGCCATTATCCATGGGCGGCTTTTAGTGACTTATTGATCAATTTACTGGCATGCTCTTTTTAAACGTAACAATTTTAACATACTAATAGAAAGGAAATGAAACAGAAGCTCTGTTTCAGAACCATTACACTTAAGTCGACAATGAATTTCCGATGGAAATATATTTGAAGATTCTGGTTTCTAGAACAAGCTTTGAAGAACAAAACTGAACGCGAAACTTAGCAAATGCCGAATCAACTAGGAGCCCCGGTAGAGCAACAAGTTTACAATATAAGATACAAGCTCCGAAAAACAATATCAAAAAATGCGTTAAACTGGAGATAAGAACATATAGTTCACACCATATTTACTACAAACACAACAATTTAAGCCTATATTCTTGAAATAAATCACATGTTAAATATCATACCTTCATGCGTTGTGGCAGCCATTTTCTTTTCTTCTTCCACTGACGTCCAGACAACGTGATTTTTCAAATATTTAGCACTTATCTTGCCTATGTTCTAAATACATTATTATTTTGATAATTACTATAATATTTATGGATGTGTGTAATTAAATATTGTTTTTATTGTTTGCAATTTAACTCGACAAATTCCGTTATTTTCCGTAAAGTATTCAATGACGTCACATAGTCGGGGTGAGTCCAAGGTCACAGCTGGTTTCTGAGGACAGGCGGGTTTAGTAATCCAAGTGAGAAGCCTGTCAATAAAAATGAAGAGAGCTGTCAAGATCGGAACGGACGTCATAAAACTCAGCAAATCTAAATCAGAAATTGTTAAAGTACAGCGGTAGGTTGTGTCGATTTCTTTTTGAAACTGCAGATAGTTAAAATATTACGACTTGAGGTTAGTTACTTCCCGTTCACTTCGACTATTATCAGCGAGCCGCGTTTGATAATCATTATGATATAACGTGTCGAAACCTTCAGTTTCTCTCGCCACTGCCTTATCAGTGTTGTAATTACAGTGTAGCTTGTTGGAAATCAAGGTTGGGAAGCTGTATCATAGTGTTTGAGATGTGCTAGTATGGTGTATCATATCACCTGACTTCTGTTTTCTGGTGCAACATGTACTAGTATTAGGACACTGGGGCTTCTTATACAACCCATAGGGCAGTGACTTAATTATTATAATGTGAATTAAGGAAGTGCCATCACGCTAAGAGAAAAAAAAAACTTATTGACGTAATCTTTAGAACCAATGCAGAAATATGATGTAAAGAAACAGAATTACTGGTATGTACTGCAATAATTAAAGAAAAGAAATTATTAGATTTATGTGTGTATAAGTCACAAGACCTACAGTGTTTGTCCACCCCTATGTTACAAGATAGCCCATAAGATATAAACCATTTTATGCTTTGCCAGTTTACATGTGGTATATGTATGTTACAGGAGTGTTAATTAAGAGAGTGATTTTTAACATTACTCTCTAATGTTGGTAACAGAGGGCTACATACATGTATTACAATTTTTTATTTTAAAATAAACTACTAACTTGAAAGACAAATAAGCTGTGTTTGTAATTTTTATAAAAAAAAATAGGTAATTTATTTATTTTTTATTTCTATGTTTATTTTTTTCAATTAATTCCTTTTCATGCAAAGTAATAAAAAAGCAGGACAAAAACTTTTTTAATTTATGTTTTATTACAATTTCTCTGTTGCAGCTGCTGTATGTGTACTTGCCTAAAACAGTGTAGAAAAAAACTTCTTCAAGTTCAGCAACAACAAAATGCCTTACCAGTACAAACAATGGTGCATCTACCCGACCTGAACCCATTCAGTAGGAACAGAAAAGAGGAATACTCTGAAAGGAGAATTTTAGGGTAAATATGTCGCGCAGTGATCAAGATACAAGAAGTGTATGAAAGGCGAGTGTTGATTAATGTTTGGAGAAAGACGAGCTCAAGTTTGTCAATATATATATATATATATATATATAAATATATATGTCAAAGTGACTGAGTTATTTTGATTCCTGGTTTTAGCTAGTATTACTTGTGCTTCCTTTCATAGACATGAGATTTCAGATTTTTGACCTAGTGTTTGTCTTGATACAGAGAGACAATATGATACTTTGTCAACTAACAGTTCCTAAATGCTTCCAGATACAGATGCCATGGTCACAAAATTATGTAATATATTTTATTATCAAAGATAATCATACTTGTCTGGTTAATTATATAAAGTAATGCTTTTTTGTTCTGTGACTTAGTGATGAAATACAAGGTAACATGTAAATCTTTTATGCCTTCAGCTTTGTCATTTAGATATAATTTTTGAAGAGACAGCATTATTATACATGTAATTCCCTTTCAGGTGCGACTTGGGCTAAATAATGAAGGATTTAGATACGGTGGAAATAAATAATGTCCTCTTTCAGTTTTAGCATGGAGCAAATGTTTGAGGTGGTAGCTGATGTGGAGAATTACACACAGTTTGTGCCGTGGTGTACCAAGGCACAGGTGACAGCCAGAAGACCAGGCTCCTTTAAATGTAAACTACAAGTTGGATTTGGGCCTCTCTTGGAGAGCTATACGTCAGTTGTCACAGCAACAAGGCCACATTTAGTACGGGTGAGGAAGTCAATAAGATCATCGTTAGGGCCCTATTATTTGTTGTCCTGGAAGTAAAATAGAAATGGGTCTTTAAAATTCAACCCCAGGAGTCCCATGCTAAAGGCTCTCATCTTTGAATAATGCGATCCTTACAACTGTTATAGAGATTCCCAGGTTCTGCATCTTATCTTCTGCACACAGGAACAGAATTGAATGACTCCACATTGTAATTTCAACAGACTGTATCTGACTATAAAGGTTACGTGAAACAGTCAAGATCAATTCTCGTCTCCAGTCAAGACCCCTCCCCCACCCCCTTCCTCATAAGTTCTTTCTGAAACCAAGACCATAAAATGCCAACTTCCAGTGATTGAATTAATAACATCTAATAAAATTAAATATAACTGACAGATAAGTTAAGTTTTTTTTTAAATATAAATTTAATTGAATAACAGTAAATAATTTTGTTTCATTGTGGTTTAAAGACTGAGGTGAAAACACACACATGCAGGCACACAATAAGGCAGTCACTCCTGCACACACTAGTACTTCTACAGTAGTGGACATGGCATCTGAGTAGTTATTAATAATGATTATTTTTCTGTTTCAGTCCGTGTGCACGGATGGTCGACTGTTTAACAATCTAGACACAACATGGCGCTTTAGTCCTGGTATCCCAGGGCAACCGCAGACATGCATGTTGGATTTCTCTGTAAGTAAGCACAGTGAGTTTCATCTAGATGAAAACAAAACATTTGTATCATTGAGAAAAGTCAGTATGTGCCCAGACCCAAACTCCTTTTCGAAAAAGAAATTTAAAAAAAGAAAAAGAAAAGAAATAAATCAGTCAGTGGCCTGGCAAAGCAATCTTAATTCAGCAGTTTGGGGTGTAAGCAATGAGAGTTTCACCAAAGTACTTACTGGTTAGATAGAGGAGTCTTTACATAACCGACATGTGAGTGGGTTTTAGTGATTTTCCAAAGATACACAGTATAAGAATTTATAGGTTTAAGTATGATAATGAAAAAATAAAACATTTAATTAGCCAATTTATGTGAAATATTGCTTCTAACCTGTTTTATTATAAGTAAATATCAATGACAAAACTGTAGACCAATAATGGTAACTATATTTTAGTTAAATACCTAACACTGAACCTGAATCGTAAGAGATAATAAATCTAAATAAATGTCAGGTTTTGATCTTTGATACTTTATTTATTTATTTTAATTCAAAATGTGTAAGTTAATTCTCTGCTTTGCTGTTACTAAAATAGGGCCTGAAAACGAAGTTTTCTTGGCAAGCAATTGTTGAATGTTCCTAAATGCTTTTGCAGCACTGATTTTGCGTCTTTATAATTTGCTGTTCTGTTTGTTTCTTTTCAAGGTTTCCTTCGAGTTCCGGTCTGCTCTCCATGCAAAGATGGCGCATATGTTTTTTGATGAAGTCACTAAAACCATGGTGAACGCTTTTTTAAAAAGAGCACAGAAACTTTATGGACCTCCAACGGTCATCAGGCCCAAAACTGTGGTCAAAAGTAATCCAACATCTTGACGCCGAACAGAAAGAACCCATAAAATTTTAGTCAAATTTTATTTATTATGATATAAAATATCATTGAAGGATTATTGTATAGAATCTGTAATAAACAATTCTTTTTTATGTATGGACTTTTCAGTCTGATTGAAATTCATGTCAAAATGTACTGTAATAATTCCTATGTGACTTCAATTTTTTAAAATTAATTTGAAGAGTCAAGATGTATCCCAGAACTTATAAACAGTTGGTCAAATCCCCAAGGGTTGTGCACTGTACATGTACTCCAGTTTGTTTCATCTTCCTAGAAACGTAGCCTATTTAAATTGTTACGTGTAGTTGAAAATTTTCTTAATTAAAATAATGTAATGAAGCCAATTAGCAGAATTCTGTCTTTTATTTAACACCCATCCTCCCAAGACTTGCACAAAGAAAGAAGTGGTCAGTTCTGGGCCATCGTTCTTCACTCTACTGGCTGCCTCTAGAGGACATCATCTCCAAACCAAACGATATTCCTCCTTCGATATTTTTTGTATAAGAACTGTAAAATTGAGTAATTATGAAAAAAAATTTAATCTCTCTGAAGTCCAGCAAGTGCGTATCAGACATGAGCTTTTTCCGCAGGAAAGCTGAATTCCACGTTTTTTAATTCAATTCTGATGGTTCCTGATATTCGTCAAGGTAAGTTGTCGGGTCTCTTGATAAATGTTCAGTTTTATTTTAAAAGCTAGGCTCATGTCTGCTGTACAGTTTGGTGGTGTAATTATTTAAAAATATATATTTTATCTGCAAAGTATAATGTATGAAAATAAAAAGTGTTATATAAGAAGTGATAATAAAACTAAACTTATTATTTATTTAATTTTTCAAAGAAAATGACATTGTAGATGACACCAGTATAATTCGATGCAAAGGGAGACCGTTTTAGTCAACACCGGGGTCTCTGCGGACTTTAAATTATTTCTCAAATGGCCGCTCTTCTTCTTGTTCTGGAAAATAAAGCTGGTGGTTGAACTTGCTTCTCTATGTACGGTTATTAGGCTACTCGATCTTTTCAAATAGGGAAAATTGTGAATTGTACTGATACTGTACTTATTAGGTCATGCTTTCTTGAAATTTGAACATTCTTAATCAGTGATGGCAAAGCAGTTCTATTCTTGGCATTAAAAGCACCACAAATGCTATTTAGGAATATAGAATTATGATTATAAATTAAAGGGGCGTGCCCGTGTTCTGTTATTTAGACCAAAGGTGAAGAGAGATAAGCTTATAGTTTATTTGATAGATAACCTTTTTACGCTTTCTATAACGTCAAAATTGACACTCTAAATAAAGTAAAAACCGAGATAAGCTGACTGTATGCTTAGATACTGAGACAAGTGTCACCTGCCAAGGTTTTTGTATCTTTAATTTTTACAATATGTTAATGTAGTTATCAAGACGGGATCACTTGCATTCCTTATTCACCTTTCTGGTGACGCATGACTTAGAGGTCGGCACTAGAACTTTACGCGCTTTTGGTACACGCGCCTTCTTGTTGAGACAACTGAACTGTCGATCTCTGAAGTTTTTTTAAAGATAGAAATCACCTACAGGATATGGTGTACCTCTTTCGTTCAATACACTGTCAGATTCCTGTGAAATAATCCTTATTGCATTCATGGGCTTTTGCTTTTTGCATTTTTTTCGTTTGTTTGTTTTGTTTTGTGCTTTGCACATCACTTTTCAACTTGCCGTTTAAATTTGTAGACATGTTTTGTTAAAAAACTTGATAGTAATCAACGGCTTCATTTCAAAGAGTTAACACAAAAAGAAAAATATGACGAAGTTGATTACCACCCCACTTTTGGTCCTACTGCCTATAAGAGACACATCATAGTTTACACAGGCGAGTTAGGGCATTCGTCAACACCCTTAGAAGAAAAAAAAAAGGGGGGGGATAAGGAGAAATGTAGAGTCCTTCTGAGACTATACTCATAGAAAAGCAAAACGAAAAAAAAAAAAATGCACTAAACTGCTCTTAGATTATTAGTAATAATTGGGTTGATATGTAGGCAGGCGATCAAAGATTTTATCTGATTCCATTCTCATTCATTCGTATCAAATTTACTGCAATATAATGTAAACAAGTTCGCTATCCTGTAAAATACAGCTTATCTATTTCACCTTTGATCCAGACTCCTCTAATTAATAGAGGATAATTATAACTCTGTGTTAGAGGAAATGGTATAAAAGTTTGGATTTTTTTTGAGGGGACAGCAGTTTGTTAGTGGTCCTGTGCTCTCCGTGACTGTCACCACAGAGAAATGGCGCGTTGTCAGAGGAGGATGGTGGCGGCCGTAACCGTACTGTTGCTGGCATGTGGGGGACTCGTTTATGCCGAGGAAACCACACCTAAACCGACTGCTGAAGCCGCGGGAGGTAAACCCAAATGATCAGTTAAATGTGTTTGCAGACTGTTTCTATTTCGACTTCTGTTGCAAAAAGTTACTTTTTGAATATATATATATATTGACTTGACATTTGATATGGAATATTTTTTCCAAATCTTTTTTCATCAGTTTTTTTCCTATTTTGCTGACTGATAAATAAAAAAAAAGGATTAAAATCGTCTTTATATAGCTTTAAATTATTATTTGACGTCATTGTGACATCAGTTCGTTAATTGAATTCGCCAGAGATGCAAATAAAAACATATTGCCCATTCTATGTCATACGAAAAACCATTAAAAGTGATATTTTGGATCTCCATATTTTCCAAATTATTGTCTGTAAAAGAGTTACAGGCTCCACAAAGGACCCTCATGTCAGTGTCTAGTCACAGTAACGGTCGCTGTTACGCCTGACCTGACCGCTGCTACCAGCGCTCTTTAGTGACAAGGTATTCCTTGGGATAGGTTTTTAGAGTTCAATCAGGAATAACATTTCAGGCATCGGTCCAATTTGGTCCAGTTTTGTTGTAGGACATGTAGGCCATTGATTGGGCGAGTAATGGCCTACCCACACATTGTCTATGTGGTTCAAATATGGCGATTTTGATGACCAAGGTAGCTGACCATTCCCTTGGTTCTGTAAGTAATCTGCTATTAAAAGTGCTCTGTGTGAATCGGCAATCTCACTGTGCAACCTAAAATCGTTCCTAAGGTGACCCCTTTCAATTGATAGTCAAGTGGTTCCCAGATTATTTCTTTATTTGATCTGGTTCAGGTTTTCGTCGTTGACTACAATTGGTGTTTTGGAACCAGTGTGGTATCCACTCCAAATACTTATGCTGTTAATGGCCTTAGTCACTAAAGGCGCGGCAAACGCTTCGTCGCTGGCCTCTTTTGGATGTCTGTAAACTCTGTTTTGACTAGTTGAGCGGTACAGGTGAAATCTGACCTCAATAAAGAAAGCCACGGGATTTCAGTGTTCTACCCAGAAACGGTCAAGGTCCCCAATTCATTAGAGAGACATATAACGATGTTTTGCTGTTTACAGTAGGTTCCTCGGAGGTCGTCTGGTATTCTTACCTGCTAAAACCAGTTTGGTTTTCCCTAAGAGCCTTGAAAAATGCGTTTTGGTGGCAATTTACCCCTCATTTTGAACGAACTGGGTGGTTTTTGTTTAGTTGCAACAGCATATCCCTAAAGGCAATTATCTGTCTGGCAATGTCTCTCTTTTTTGCGCCATTATGCCAAAGATTAAAAAAATTGCAAAGCACTGCATAGCTAAGTTTACACATTGCAAATCCGACAACTTGCATGCAAAATTTTTAATTCTTTTATGCAGTAGTTGCCGACATATGGATACTTTTTTGACAGAACCATGTTTTGCCAAAGCCAAGCTTTGACCTGCCCAAAGAAGCACAACCCAATTAAATCACTTCATATTACATAATGCAGCAGCGCAACAAACCTGGCATTCAGTTAATTGGTAGCGACACACCTGGCTACACACTTCTCCATTCACATATCTTATATGAGATCGTTTTTTTTTTGAAAAAAAAGAACGTAGTACCTTCGAAATTGAAATATTCCATATTAAATGTCAAGTCTCTCTCTCTCTCTCTCTCTCTCTCTCTCTCTATATATATATATATATATTTTTTTTTTTTTTCTGAAAAAAAGGTGTTATAAAGACCATTGCGTTTTGTTACTGCAGGTTGAATTTTGGTATAATACTCATTTTTTCAAAATGCTTTATCCTATTTTAAATGGTTTCTGTAACGAATAAAAAAAATCATTAGTTGCATTGTGTGTGTGTGTGGTAGTCTAATTTCTTATACAGGTATATATAGCAGAAAAGAAAGCATAGTATTTTCTTTCAAAACGTGTTTTTTTATATAATATGTACATGTATTAAGTATGATGTGTAGTGTGGTATTTTCTGTTAGTCCAGTAAGCTTGGCTTCATTCACATGCAATGTCTATTTTCTAAATTCTATTTTCTATTCGCGGTATGTCTTATGATCACGGTCTGTGCCCTGAATATCCCGCGGCGTAATTACTGGCAGCGCGAGCCAGTTACTATAAGTTACTATAAGTAACTGGCTCGCGCTGCCAGTAATTACGCGGCGGGATATTCAGGGCACAGACCGTGATCATAAGATAGCGCGAATAGAAAATAGATTTTTAGAAAATAGACATTCCATGTGAACGAAGCCTACATGTTTATTTTGTTCGCTGTACATGTATTTTTGTATGCTAGATTGCGAGGTCAGTAAAAAAATTAAAAAAATCGCCTAAGCGAAATGTCGGTTGAATATTGCAGCTGCAATTTTTAAAGTCACCCAATAAAGACAGCTATTGAAGTCTTGCCAAGGCGAAATTGAAAACATACGTCTCACAACAATAACCATTAAAATATTTAATTGTTTAGGTAACTTGGACCATAGGAATAATGTTTTAGACATATAAGATGTTATACTCTGGTAGAATGTAGATGTTCCAACTGCAATTTTGATGCTATGTAATTCTGATACTTTGCAAAATGCGGGAATGAAGCGAAAAATGCGTACAAAAAGGGCGATTTTACAATCTGTGTACACAAGTAGATGATAAAAACCCAGCCCACCTTGATACTCCCTCTGTCTCCCTTTTCTCTCCATCTCTATCTCCCCCTTTCTCTCTCTCTCTCTCTCTCTCTCTCTCTCTGTATGTGTGTGTTTGGATGTGCCTTGATCATGAATGCAGATATGTGTTACCCTCAAACGTCGCACGTTAGATCTTCGCACATTAAGTGACTTGGATGGCTCCGGGCACCTCAGTCTGTTATTGCTATTTTCAGCCAATTGGGGATACTATCGCCCATACCCTTATCCATTCGGCTACCAACAAGGATACCAGCAATACCAACCAATAGTAACTGTCACAACAGGTAAGACCTAACTCACTCCGCTCTCCGAATTACCGTACCCGTGCGATCAAAATCGCCCTAGTGTTTTAAAAAGGGATAACAACTGTTCATTTGGTCAAAAATGGAGTTTCCTTGGGTAAACGACAATTTTCCCGTACTTACCAATAGTTAGTCCGACATATGTAGGTAGTCCTTCTTTTTGTTTTTTTTTTTTTTACCACAGATTCCAGAATAATTGCGATAACCGCCATTATGGTTGTAAAATGAAATTTATTATATTTTTATGAATTGTTTACAATGTACTTATTGTGAAATATGGATCCCATAAGAAGAGTTGTTATCCCTTTAATGGTTGATACACTCATGCTTCAGACATTGCCTTTATGGACAATAATTCTTTTTAAATTGATCACTAATTAAATGCTGCAAAAGCTAGTGTTAAAACATAAATGTACAAAAGGCAATATGAAAAAAAAAACATCTTGTATAAAAGTAGATTGCATTATTGTGGCTGGTCGATAAGAATGTGAAAAGTTCGAGACATTTTTGTGCACCCAAAATCCATCAAACCTTTATAATCTCAAGCTTCATTCACATGCATTGTCTATTTTCTAAATTCTATTTTCTATTCGCGGTATGTCTTATGATCACGGTCTGTGCCCTGAATATCCCGCGGCGTAATTACTGGCAGCGCGAGCCAGTTACTATAAGTTACTATAAGTTACTATAAGTAACTGGCTCGCGCTGCCAGTAATTACGCGGCGGGATATTCAGGGCACAGACCGTGATCATAATAAGTAACTGGCTCGCGCTGCCAGTAATTACGCCGCGGGATATTCAGGGCACAGACCGTGATCATAAGATAGCGCGAATAGAAAATAGAATTTAGAAAATAGACATTGCATGTGAACGAAGCCTCAGTCTTCAAGGGGTGTTGAGTCCTTTAGCATTCCCCTCAGGGGATTAAGCTGCGCTGCTTTTAAGTTCGGCGGATCGGTTAGTCTGCGGATCATCTGTTTTTGATGCGCTCTATATTTACGTAATCCCTGTATACAAACGGGGAAACCAACTTGTGTCTTGAGTGTCTGTAATCATATTTAAATGTTTAAATAAGAAAATACGATTTTATCCTTTCAGCAAAGTATTATATTATCTTATGAACAGTACATGTACTTCACAAACCTAATATATATTTAAGTTCTACTTGTGACATTGGTACGTTTGTGTACGACTGTCGTATCATTTTATATAATGGAAGTATATTACTGATACCAATGTATCATTATTCATTTCTGTCATTTTTTTTCAGCGAGTTGGGGACCGTGGTCGGACTGGAGTGATTGCTACTGCAACTTTCAATATCGCATGCGCCAGTGCAGCAATCCTTTCAGTGTGGGCCAGAGCGGCTGTACGGGGGCGGGTGTCGAAACCCGGCGATGTGTCGGCGTAGGTGCTGGCACCAACTGCCCCGCTCTAACTTAATAACACAAATACGACTACGATTCTTGTTTGACTTGAGGATTTTATGTTAGCGGTGCAAATGAAAGCAAAAGCATGAAGATTATAATTTGGATTTTATTCGAGAGAGACATTGGTCTTGAAGAATAAGTAAAATGGTCAAGTAAACTTAATTGTGGCGTTTTTGAGATCATAGTAAGCTTTGTAGTGAGAACGGAGGATTTGCTGTTCCGTTTAAGTTAGTCGATTTTTTTCTCTTTTGTGCTTAATGTGTTAATGTCAGAATTAACAGATGGATGATTATTCATGATGGAAAACGTCTAAAAAAGAACTGTGACAAATGTTGCAAAACTAAGTGGATGTCTTCAAAGTCAAAGATCAAACTTAACGTAAACTATGTGCCGACATTTGAAAACCGTCAAATATGGTATGAGAATAATCTTTCGACAACCTTTAGTGGTTTATTATGGAAAATAAACGTGTATAGTTCGCATTATCTTTAATTGTTATAATTACGTGTTTGTGTTTGTGACATTGTAAAAATATCAGATAAATGGAACTGAAGGGTGTCGTTTTGTGCCAATTAATCTAAATTGCAATTACGGAATAAAACTCCCATTTCTATTGCGTTTTATTCTAATCATGTCACTGAAAACAACTGACTAAAGCAGCGCTTTGTGGTATGGGGACAGTTATAACTTGGTTCAAATCCCACTTAACTGGTTGAAATCAACGGGGCTCGATATCATCTATTCTGTTTGTGTACCACAAGGGACATTGTTCATAATAATAATAATAATAATAATAATAAAGAGCTCAACTGATAGTTTTAATTTAAAAAGACCATCGGCACTAGTAACGCTTTTGTTGTTTACTCTCAAATCTGTTAGTGAATCTGTTGGTAAATTATCTCAGGAAAATCAGAAGAGACATCCGGTGTTTTTGTCGTAAGTGTACGAGGATGGAGAAAATCAAATAAACTCTTCTTACATGATGATATAAATAGTTTATTTGCGTTGCGTTTCTCTATAGTGACACACGTGGGTAAGAAAGCCTCGACGTAAGGAACTGCGACGTTAGGTCACTAGAAACTGTACAAAAAGAGGCCCTATCTAAGTTATATTATATATACATATATTATCAAAACGTAATATTCCATTTGTCATGTGTTCTTCATTTATACATTGGTTCAGAGTTGACTCAAATAATATTTTCTTAGTATTCTACAAGTAGTATACATGTTGTGCATTTTAATAATAAAATAGTACTTCTGGTCATCTCGTTTTTGATCGAGCCGTCGGTCGGATTCATTTTTTTTTACAACATACTGTTAAAAAGTGATAACACGAAAACCCTTGGGGGTCACAAGGTCAGGTATTGGTCACGTGGTTAGCCATTGGTCACGAGCTCAGTCATTGGTCACCAGGACAGTCAGTGGTCACGAGGTCAGTCATTGGTCAGATCCTTGGCCTGGCGCACACACAGAACCTCGGGGGCACGTACACCGCTCCCGTAGTGCCAGCTAGTTCAGGAAGCACTTCTCCCTTAGGCAAGTGGAACGTGAACGTCCGGACTAGGGCAGTAAACACCAGAAACATCTCCTGGCGAGCCAAAATTTCTCCAGGGCAGGAGCGTTTTCCTTAAAAAACAAAGAAGTATCATTGCTGTATTGATGACCATCCATACGAGTACACGTGTTGCTCGCGTAGTTAAAATATTTGAAAATGATATGAAATGATTTTGAAAAGTTTTTAAACTTAAGCTGACAGCATCATGTATCTTAGCCATACTTACATTGAATACACAAAAGTATGTACCTTGATACTTTTAACTATGAAACTCAGATGTTATTGAAATAAGAAAGGACACGAGTAGAAAACGGTTTGATTTTCCGCAGTGATTAAATAAACTACGTCAAAAAGGCTGTTTTAATATGTTTTCTGATGTGTTTAAAGTTATGAATGTTTACCTATGGAGAATGGGATAAAATTCTCGACTCTTTTTAAGTTCCCATGTTCATCGAAAAACCTCGAAGGTCGAAATTCTCGCGGGTTGGGCCAGAAATCCTCATTCATAAAAACAGACCAATAGTTCGCCATGATGCTTGTCCCTTCGGGAATGACATATCCCCCAATAGTGGTGTCCTTTGTAGCTTTGTGCGGTAGAGAGATCGGTGCAATATAATTACAGCGCTGTATTTCCATTAGCGTAGCGTTAACATAGGGGAGATGTGGCCTGTCGGCAAGATTGGGGCGTCGTGTCTTTCCTACGACTTCTTCCAATTCTGCATGGATCTTTTCACAGACGTCAGGGTTAGATAAGAGGTACAACATTCCCCAAGTTAGTGTCGTCGACGTTGTTTCCGATCCCCCGAAATAAAGAGTTTGGCAGTTAGCAAGCAAGTCTTCGTCTGTATACAGCCACTTCTGCTCAGAGTCACCGGCTTTAAATTGGTGCAGGAAAGCGTCGACAAGACCTCTCGTGGCGCCTGCATCATACCCCAACTTGTGCTGGTCTAGCAGCCTTTTGACGTGGCTTGCAAACGTGTTCCACGCCACCTTGCCTTCGCTACACTGAGGCAAAAATGAAAGGAAAGGGAGAAAGTTCTGAATTGAAGCTTGAGCACTTAGTTCGGCTGCATGGCGATAGGCATCGATCACATTTCTGAAATGTGGATCGTCGTAGTCCTGTCTGCCACCGAACAAAATACTCCCTATAATGTTTGACCCCGTGGAGCTGATGGTTCTATTGAAATCAAACGGCTCGCCATTTGTATCTCGGATGTACAGCAGCAGAGCGTCAATCTCGTCTTCAGTTTGTTTCTCGATGTCAGCTTTTGCCAGATACTTCAGGGTGAATTCCCGGTAAGCTCTTTGTTTCATGCCATAATCAGCACACAATAACCCTGGAAATAATGCACATATAATTGACAAACAATTTTAATTTTCTTTAAACAGGCGGCATCTATGGTAATGGTAATTAGCGGCCATCTTGGCAGACAAGTACACATCGCGAAACTTTAAGCAGGTTAAAGGACATCAATGTCTCGACTGCGTCTCCTAAATCATCTCCTCTATTTCGCGTTAAGCTTCCCGACTTGCATTTCATCTGTTATTTGTTTGGATATTTAAAGTGCCTCGAATTCGATATTTTGCAGCATTTTCTTGTCACTTATAATTTATAGATAAAAATTATGTAAGCCGTCTACTTTTGTAATTCTTGGCAGCTCCGTATCTTCCAGTGCCGTAATGATTCTAAATCCCGACACTGCAAGGATGTTAAAAAGAAAGTAGGCCTACAAAAAGGCCGATCTAAGGCTGTATTCCCAGAGCTTTTAGATCGATCTATCCCCGCGGGGAGTCTCACTAGATTACTGTCAGATAATCCGGCTTAAATGTCCGACCCGCCTACTACAAGCTGTAAGAGGGTAATTAATTTTCGTTTCCGCTCGGCTGACAGCTATTTAGGGTGAACCCACAGGGAGTTAGGTCGATCTAAAGTAGATCGATCTAATCTCTGGAAATGGGGTCTAAGATAACGATGCTGTGAGGGCTTTAGTGCGAGGCTGACATGACAGGGCCGTAGCCTCCGGGGGGCAGGGGGGCAACGGCCCCCCCTGGGATTTGAGGTGCAAAAAATAATAATAATCGCAATTTCTGACTTCTGATTGAGCAATAAATAACAGTAAAAATGCACCAGAATGCAGTATTATACATACAGTTTTTAAAATTTTCCACACCGTGGGAGGGGGACACCCCCACCCACACACACCCCCCCCTTTTTGGCTTCGCCCACTCGTGTCCGCTTACTGCCCCCCCTGGCAATTTGCTCAGGCTACGGCCCTGTATGTTGTGTAACGGTACAAATGATGGTCTTGTTACTCATTACCTTTCATATACAGTTATACCCCCGCATGTCACATACAATACGGATTACTCACCTCTCCCATGGAGAAAATCTAATGTCGGGATATGCGGCCTGCCAGAAGTCAACGCTCCTTTTCTCTGAAACACATCTCGGATAGCTTCATAACCGGTCAAAATAACCGCTGTGGTGGTCCCCATCTTCACTGTGAATATGTTACCGTAGATCTTGGCCCACTCCATCAGGGTAAGTTGAGGATCTCTCCCAAGGAAAGGGAGAACGCCTACCAGTGGGAGTCCCCATGGACCCGGGGGAAGGTTGTTCTTCTTGCGGCCCCGCACAAAGACAAAGATCAAAGCCACAAAAACAACTACCAACAGCAGTGTCGAACCGACAAATGGGTTAACTACAGATCCAAGCACAGACATTTTGAATGTGACTTAAACGACTTACGTAATTCGAAAGGTGCGATGTGCGCATGACCGGAATTGTGCACTACATGTACAGGGGTCAAAATAGTACCGGAAGCGTTGTTCACAGCGATAAGAACACATGATGGAGGCAGAAGACGTAAGTAGTATATGTGCACCAAACTCTTAGTATTTTACAGGTGGACCGCAGGTGGACCTGTGGCATAAGTATGACGCGTGATCAGCTTGAAGGGGGCCTCAGGTGATCCTGTTACGCATTATCACGTAATATTATTTAAAATTACATAACCTTATGTATTATTACAGAATCAACTATTAGCGTTTGAAGGTGGACCTGTTATGTAAGTGCATATGTGCATTTCGCAGGTGGACGTTTTGTATTTGTGACAGTAACGTAGGCCTATGTTCCTTTTTGGGGTTAAACGATGAATTATTTTAAATTATTCATGGTTCCAGGAGAGTGAAACTTTAATAGAAGCTTCTTCATGTGAGACCCTAAAATAATTAAACGCAGTTAGCAATCTGTGCAGTAAATATTTTTAATAACATGCTTGTTACATCAATTGCATCTCTATCCTTTGTTTTCTCCTTGCGTCACAGTCCGTGCGTACTT